GGGAGAAGAAGAGGATGAGAAAGGATAGGGGGCAATCAAGAGGGAGCATGAGGCTCGATGAGGAAAAGAAGGAGAAGGTGACAACAGCAAGAGGGGAGCTATTAGGGAGAAGGAGGGAGGGGGAGGGGGAATATCGGGGAGTCTCGAAGAGAGGCGATGATGATGGAAAAGGGGGAAGGGGAGGAGAAAGATGAAAAGCAACAAAGGAGAGAGAATTACTGCAAGAAGATGCAAGTTCGTCATTAGAATTTCCGGAGGAGGGGGGTACGCGGTGGGAGGCTCATCTGGTTTGATGGAACCAATTTGCCAAACCCAATATCACTTGGTTCAGGTGCGCACTTGGGCTCAAGTGTGCAGTCGCGCCCAATTGCAAGCGCCCGACTGAGCCATGCCCAATTGCAAGCACTTGCTCGAATTCAAATCGAGGTGCTTGAGCCTCACCTTGCCTTGTCCCACTTATGTGAGTGCTTGAGCGCCTGGTGACATCCTTGGGTGTGATAGAAAATGTACTCTGAAAATGAGTTGCTATGTTCTTGCCTATCAACATCTAGAAAGACAAACCAAAATTTAAGATTCACTTGCTTTAGTTTAGGTTGAACTGTCCTCAACACAATTTGTGATAGTGCGAGAGAATTGGAGTGGTAAGAAAACAAGGATCATGCAGCATGTAAATAGTATAGAGAGAATAAGATTTCTAGGAATGTCACATTATGACCAGTTCCCTAAAGAAAGAAAAGAAAAGAAAAACAAAAAATATTGATAAGCTTGCCATCATATACTTTTTACATCTAACTTGACCTCGATCTCAATCACGCACACAAGTTGCTCAATATACATCAACGAGGTTCAATTTAGTCAATTAAATTGTCCCTAAGTCTTTCTTTTGAAAATTTGAATCATATAATTTGATAGACATCAAGCAACATAACTAAAACACCCATAGAAATCGTAAGCCAATTTGGCAGGTACTGATGCCTCACAAAGCAATAGCTAACAAGGTTTTAAATCTAGGCCACACCAAGTGATTTGGTATGGTTGGAGGAAAAGGACTTTAGCGCCACATTCTAGATGCATTCCTTGCACTACGCAAAGCACAAATTGGCCTCACCATAATATCAAATGACCGACACTGACTCTACATAGCTCAGTAGAAAATAAGGCAATCCATGCAACCTTTTTTAAGAAAATCCATCCATCCTAATTGAAGAGCTACTGCAAAAGATAGCTCTAGAATGTTAAAGAAAGATACAAGATGTATTAAAAAAATCCAGAACAATGTTAAAGGCCAGACAAATAAAATCTAGAACTACAGAAACCATGAACCAAGGTATACAATTTCATACCGTACCGGAGTTTCGACGTTTGCTCGGTACGGTACGAAACAGTATACCGGTATACCGCTCGGTATATATATATATATAAAGGCGACGTCGCATCGCCTTTTCCTTCTCCCACGCGGGGCGACGTCGCCGAGGCGACGCGATGTCACCTCGTATATATATATATATATATATATATATATATATATATATATATATATATATATATATATATATATATATATATATATATATTTATTTATTTATTTATTTATATATATAAAAAGGCGACGTCGCTTTTTTTTTCTCCCACGCGGGGGGGGACGTTCGTTTATATATATATATATATATATATATATATATATATATATATATATTTATTTATATATATATATATATATTTTATTTATTTATATATATATAT